TTCATAATGAACCTATAAAGATATTTTTCAGTATTTGTTTCACAAATACAGAAAATGAGAGTCAACAAAGTTGACTCACCAAATTATGTGACGCCACCATGGTGGAAGTGTCCTTCCAAATCCCCCCTTCAAGAATGGAATTACTGCCTCATCCACATGGACCGCTGCCTGTTGCACTCCTCACCCTAGGCTGTGCTCTCTCTGCAGGATCCCTCGTTTCATGATTGTGCTCCATGACCAACTCGGAAGTCACGTCTGAGCATTCCATGTGGTATGCTATAAGGTTTCCTTTGAGACTTAACTTCTACCAAATCTCATCTCCTTTTGGCATGAACACCTTTCTTTACCAGGTATTCATGCCAAAAGCACTCAGGAACAGACCTCCTGTATTCTGCTGTCCATCTCATATGGTAGCGCACTTGTCTGAGCATCCACAAAGGCCTGAACACCATCACCAGAAAAAAAGTCAATGACAAAGAATTTGAAAAGCAGCAAGAAAGAAAAGGATACAAGAGAACCTTAATAAAACTAACTGCTGATTTCTCTTCAGAAACAATGTGGGGCAAAAGCTAGTGGAATTACGTATTCAAAGTAATGAAAGAAAAAATGGTCAACCTAGAACTTTATACTTTATACTTTCAAAATTATTTGAAATTTATATTTTCAAAAAATGAAAAAGAAATTAAGACATTCCCAGAGAAACAAAAGCTGAGTGTTCATTACTAATATATTTGCTCTATAAGAAATGCTAAAATGAGTCTTCTAAGTACATAATGCAATGATTATAAATCTTAGTTTATAGGCACATAATGCAGGAAAGTATAATTTATACAGTATAAAAGGAAAAGGATGGAAGTATATTTTTATATACTATTAAGTTTATATTAATTCAAACTAATTTGTTTAAAATAAAAGCATTAATTATGATCACCAACAAAACCACTAAAAAAATAATTCAAAAAAATGTAGTAAAAGAAACTAAATCAAATTATACTTTTCCTGGTGAAAAATTTTTCAGTGTCTGAGCCAGTTTCTTGTTTTTTGTGTACTTTATATATTTTTTTGAAAACATGAAATATTGGATGTTATGCATTTGACTATTATAACTCATTCCTTAGTGGGGTTTCATTGTTGTTGGTGGTGTTTCTTCTTATTGTAGTTGCTTTGTGTTTATTGCTTTTTGTTTAAATGAATTTTGTTAAATCTGTACTCTTCATTGTGTGTGCACTTTGAAGTCTCTATGCTGTTAGTGGTCAGCTATATTAAAAGAAACTAAGTTAAATGGGATTAAAATGGTACAGAAGACTATATATATTAACACAACAGAAGACTGTAGTAGAAAAATTAAAGAAAAAAACAGGTAAGATATCATTTTAGTCCATTCCTGCTATTTCAGAGTGGGTAATAATAGAAAATTATTGCTTCACAAGTTCTAGAAGCTGGAAAGTTCAAGATGACCTAGCAGACTTGAAGTCTGAGGACAACACCTTGTCATAGTGGCAAAAAAGGCAAGTACTGTACTATGCTTTTGCTATAGAAAAAACAGACAAAGAGGCAAATGGAACACTTGCTACGCCCTCACATGGCAGAAAAGTTAGAAGGAGCCAGCAGCTCTTCAGAGCGTTTCTTCCTTGTAAAGACATTAATTCTGTTCACAAGAGCAGAGTCCTAATGACTTAGTCACTTCCCAAAAGGCCCCACCTGTTAACATCATAAAAATAGAAGCTAACTTTTAACACCAATGGTGGAGGGATACAGAAAACATCAAAATGGAGGATATAATAATCACATTAAATATAAGCAGATTAAGATTTCCATTTAAAAGGCAAAGATTGGTATCAGTATAGAGAAAGAAAACATTACCTAATGAAATGTTGTCTACAAGAGATTTTTAGATAGAGATAGATTTTTAGAGCAATAGATTGAGAGTAGAAATATAGAAAAAGATATTCCATGCAAACTGTAACCAAAAGACAACTGCAGTAACTAGGCTAATATCAGACAAAATAGACTCTAAGGCATGGCCATCCAGGCTTTGGTTTTGCTTGGGCCACAATGAGTAAGGAAGAATTATCTTGGGCCATGAATAACATCTGCTATATAGTTAATGTAAATAAACAACAAAATCTTCTTTAATTTTTAGTATTTTTACTATAACATTTTATGCAGGGGTAAATGCTCACTGACCACAGGTTGTACCTATCTGTTTTAAGGCAAAGAAATCAATATTGAGAAGATGGCAAGAAAAAATAGAGAAAACCTCTAACTTCTAGTTGACTGGAACCTGGGATAGAGATCAGGCTACAGATACACACAATGACAGGGACCATGATTTACTGAACTTTAATTTGCATACTTAGCTCAGGTCTCAGTGTATGGGCATTTAATATTTATTTGCAATTTATATATGAACTATACGTCATTCCCATAGAATTGGTAGTTAAACCCATAGCTTGAAATAAAAGTGTGGAGAGTTTAGAGGGAGACACAGCAATAACCAAATTATGGGAAAGATTCACATGTATAACACAAGAGAAAAAAAGCAAGAGTTAGGACTAAGGAAATACAAGAAATTAACAGAAGGCAAGAAGGAGCAGACTTTCAAAAGTATGCAGTATACACATCAATTTCGTTAATATAGAGTATATACACTCTATTTAACATGTGCACATTACACACACACTACAGTAGTCCCATTTTTCTGTAGAGAATATGATCTAGGATTCCCAGTGAAAGCCTGAAATGATGGATAGAACAAAGCCCTATATACATTGTGTTTATTTTTTTTCTATACATACATATCTGTTATAAAGTTTATGTATTAAGCAGAATACAAGATGAACAATAAGAGGTAATAACAAAAATAAAACAACTATAATCAACTCAAAGAAAATTGTCAGCACTAATGTTCTTGCCATTTGGAGACATTAATAAGGAAAATAAAGGCGACTTGAACACAAGCATTGTGATAGCGACAGTCGACATGACAGCCATCAAGTGACTCCTGGGCAGGTAGCAGATACAGGTATGGGTACAATGAGTACAGGGATTATTAAAAAAACAGATAAGACAGAGCACAACACAATGGGATTTCATCAGGGGACTCCAAATAGGCCATAGTTTAGAACTTATAAATAATTTCTGAAATGCAATTGACCACAGGTAACTGAAACCATGGACAGCAAAATTGAGAATAAGGCAGTACTTCTGTAACCAAAATATCACCAACTACATACATGTCACTCCTTTTGTGATCCACAGAGAAGTCTTAACTGGAGTCTTTTTCTGGCTACCAAGAGGGAATACTTAATCCTCCTGACATCATAGATAAACTAGATAGATAGATAGATAGATAGATAGATAGATAGATAGATAGATAGATAGATATAGATAGATAGATAGATAGATAGATAGATAGATAGATAGATAGATCCCTCAATAGCCTGGAAATACTAAAATGTTCAGGAAACCAATGCATAATCAGAAGCATCCCTACTTGTTCAGTGCATCTCTCTTCTAAATCACAGCTCTATTACTTTGTCCTATGAGTACTCTCTTAATGTATAGCTCAAATGTCTTGTACGTAGTGCGATAAAACATCTAACAAGCCAAGACACAAATGATACAAAGTGAATTGGAAATTAGAGGATTTTAGCTAGAAATACTTTCTCTAAGAGAAACATGAATGTCTGTCTTAAATTAGGGAGATAGAAGGAAAGAAGTGGAGAGATGAAATGGAAATTGACTAACATTCCATCAATTTATTTTGTGGGGCTGTAATGTAATGGTACCAAAATATCCTTATTAGCCCTAGCTTCTTTTCATATTTCCTTTTCTTCTTTCTTGTGGCTAGGTTTGCTAACATTAGCACATTATCAAATTTGTTCAGTAAGACACATACCACTAGGATGTATGAAGTATTTCCTACTCCAATTTTTACTAAATAAGTCAGTGCTTAGACTGAGTTTGCCCAGAATGAGAATGTATTGAAGTCAAGATTGAATTATTCCCAGTTGTTGAGTGCATCAGTCATTTTAGGTTGTGTTTTAGTGGCCAACATCTATTCCCTCTTCTTCAGTTAAGATCACCTTGACTACCTTATTTTAACAAATTTACCTTCCTGCTTCTCAGTTTATGAGCACCCACATGACTGGCCCCAGAGGTAGCTACATGACCCAAGCTTGGTCAGTCAAATTTCCTGGCACTGGGATTTGATTCTTGAGCAGAACAGCTGTCCAAAATAGTGGTAGTTTTCTTTTCCCTACAGTTGGCCACTCAGAAAAATGACTTCCTTAGATCTGGCTGCTGGGTTTTTTTTTCTGTTTTATAACATTCCTTAGATTTGCATTTTAAGCATTTCCTTCTATTGTTATCACTATTCAGATCACTTCCAACAAATTCAAGTTATCTCTCAAGTTTCCTTGAATGTGTTTCTTACAAAAGTCAAAACAACCTAACCAATATATTGGCAAACATTTTACACAGAAGTACACAGCACTAACAAGCTATCCAGCACTGCTAAAAACAAGGTCCACTGTGAGGTGGAACCAATTTTCAGCCAACATCCCACATCTGGTTACTTCCAAGAGTTTTCCCACACTAAGGATGCTTTGCAGGAGAGAATCAGATGTCTAATTAATACCTTTATTCTTTTTGATACTTTCCAATTTAAGAATGAGCTACCTGTACAACTGTTCTCTACTGAGTTTCATGCTTAGTGTCAGCAGAGGGGCCACATTATGATTCATTTCAAAATATTTTTATTTCTGTTTAGAGTAAAAAAGAATTATTATCTAACAGAAAAGTATTATTTTATTTTTAATGCTTTTGGCATTTTTATACTCCAATTTGAACATTATCTCCATACTTATTGACAGTAGTAAGTTGATTTGCCCAAACTAGCTAGTGGAAATATATGAGAACCCCATTTGTAATTTTAAATTTCCCAGTAGCCACATTTAAAAAGCAGAAAGAAATCGGTAAAATAAATTTCAGTAATATGAAGTTATATTTAACACATTTTATTTAACCCAGTTCATCTAAAATAATAGTTCAACATGTGATCTATATAAAATTATACAAAGTCTTTGAGACCCAATGTGTAATTTACACTTTGAACACATCTCAAATCAGATGCAAATTTCCACTAGAAATACCTGGTCAGTATATAGATTTCATAAGTTTTACAGTAAAAACAGTTGATTTGCATAGCCAAGTTTTTCAAACATAATCAAAGTTTTTTAATAAATTAATTTAGTACTGGTTTTTAAATTTAAATTAACTGAAATTAAATGCAATTAAAATGCATTTACTCTGTTGTACTAGCCACATTTCAAGTGTTCATTTCACGTGGCTAATGAACTCTCCAGGCATGTGTGTTTAATCAGGATTAGAAGAAATGTTCAAACATCTGTGAGTTCTCACTCGGGAGGTTCTAACATTTTAAACATGCCACAGTAACTTTTGTCATTGAAAGACAAGGATTTCTACTTGAGGTCTTAAGATCATTTGAATGTGTCCCCTAAAAGCTCATGTGTTGGAATCTTAGCCCTCAAATTCACATGTTAATGGTATTTTGAGGAGGGATCTCTGGGAAATGATTTGATGAAGTCCCAAGAATGGGTCCCCTATGACGGCCTTTGTGGCTTTCTAAGAAGAGAGTCCAAGCTAGCATGCTTGCTCTGTGTCAGATGCGATGCCCTCCACCATGCTTTGAGACAGCAAAAAGGCCCTCACCACAGGACACACAGATGCTGGCACCATACTCTGGGACTTCTCAGTCTCCAGAACTGTGAGCCAAATGACCTTCTTTATAAATGACCCACTCTCATATACCTTGTTATAGCAGCAGTCTCACTAAATTGTATCTCTATAGTTTTCATCAAATTTGGAAATTTTGGGCCATTATTTCTCTAATCATGTTTTTTCTCTCCTGTTACCTTCCTCAAGTAACTTCCAACTCAGCCTCCCAGCCCTCCTACACCACTCCAAGACCCCAATTACCTATAAGATAGGTGGCTTAATATGTTCCTGAGCTCTCGTTTTGTTTTTCTTCTTGTATATTTTTTTCCCAGTCTTTTCTCTGTTTTATTTAGGGTGGTTTCTGTTACAATGCTTTCAGGTGGAAACATTTGTGGGGGGCAGTGTCAAAACTGTTAATACCATCTATGATATTCTATATTTATGCTTTCTTCTCCTTTCTTGAAGTTATGGAACATATTTATTACAGTTATTTTAGCCAACACAGGGAGAATATTTATAAAAGCTGCTTTAACATTCTTGTCTTCTCTTGTCTATGTCACTTCTGAGTCTCTTCTTCCTATATGATGTTTCTCTTTGTTATTGGTTACACTTCTCTGCTTTGCATGACTGAAATTTCCTGAAAAATGCTGGGCTTTGGAAATGTTATACTACTATATGCTTGAGCTTTGTTTGAATTATTTTGTTATTGTTATTAATTTTTATATTCCTTTAAGTATTGAAGAGGGTTTTTTTCTGAAATGTTGTTCAGTCACTTGGAATCATTTGATCATTTTGAGGCTTACTTCTTAAGGGTTTTTTTTTTGGTACCGGGGATTGAACTCAGGTCTTTGCGCTTGCGGAGCAGGCGGCAAAACCACTGAGCTAAATCCCCGGCCTTCTTAAGGTTTTTTAAGGCAGACCCAAGTAGCCTTCAGCCTAGATAAAATTTGAACCTATTACTGAGGCAACATCCCTCTGAGGACTCCCCCATATTAGGAAATCTTTCCACTCTGGTTGGTGGCACCTCTGTGGGACCCTGTGGAAGCTCTGAGGATTGATCTGCTGGTATCTTTCTACCAGTTCCTCTCAGCCTCAGTAGTTTCCTTACACACATACAGAAGCCAAAAACTTGAAGGATCCCTCTCCTTGTAGTCTTCTTGTACTCTTTCTCAGTCTTAATCTGTAGGAACTGCCATAATGAAACACCACAGCCTGGAAGCTTATCTAAAACAAAATTTAGATCTCATAGTATTAGAGGCATCAGACTCTAGAAGATACTAGAAGCCTGGGATCAAGGCATCAGCAGACATTGTGTCTGGTGAGGGCTCCTCACTCTGATTTATAAATAGTTCCTTGTCCTGTGTTCTCACTTGAACACACTAAAGGTTATGAACAAGCTCCTTTGGGCCTATTTTATAAGACCACTAATCCCATCCCTGAGGCTCTACCCTCATGACTTAGTCATCTTCCAAAAGGCCTCATCTCCTACTACCGTTATCTTGGGGATTAGGATAGGATTACACTGTAAGAATAGGGGTGGGAGGCAAACATTCAGACCACAGTTCAAGACCACAAGGCTCTGTCTGGGTCCTCACCCTTGGAAGGCACTGAGCCAGGGCACTGGTTTCCCTTCTGTTGGGAATTACCGCCAGCATTGCCCATTGCCCAATGTCAGAAAATGGTTGTTTTCTATACTTTGTCCAGTTTTCTAGTTGTTTAAGGGCAGAAGATAAATCTAGTTCCTGTTATGCTATTGTACCAAAAGATATAAAAGCTCAATTCTGTTCATTCAATAAATATTGATTGAATTCCTGCTGTGTATGAGAAATGGTGCAGAGTGCTGGGCATGGACGATTGGACTAAAAGATATACAGTCTCTGCTCTCATGGTTACTGCATTTCAACAGGAAAAAACAATAATTAAGTGATCATTCAAGTAAAGATGTAATATAATCATGAAACGTGAAAGAAGAGACTGCAGAGAGCCATGAAAGCATATAGCAGGAAGCCCTAATTTAGTCTGGGAAAGCAAGAAGTTTCCCCAAACAAAGGTCATTTTAACTAGGACTTGAGGAAAAAGAAAGATCTGGTCTTCACGTTCTGAAGGGTAAGAAGGTTGCCAAAGACCTAAGATGGAATGGAACCACTAGGGATCATGGAGTCCAGCTCTTAGATTCCCCAGTGAAGAAACAGAAGCTCAGAAAGCTTATGACACATGCTCGTGGCACACCGGAGACTAAAACCAGGGCTTCTTATCTTTGGATCTAGCACTCTTTCTATTCTACTACACTACTAAGCAAATGTAGAGAATACTAGAACATTTTCTGTAATGGTATTTGCCATTTTAAGGTCTATTATAGGTAATACATAATTATATAATTTGTTTTGATTTTAAAATAAATATGGCCAAAATATTATTCAAGATATACTTTTAAATGCCAGTATTTTCTGTATTTACAAAGTATATGCTGCAAAGTGTAAAAAAACTACAAAAGAGCACAAAACAGAAAAGAATAAACACTCCCACATTTAGTACATTGAAGCTATAACAGCATCATAATGGCCTGGAAGTGTTAACGCAGATCCCTAAGTATCTAAATTACACCCAGGAGATTCTTGCTCAGCAGTGTAAGCTGTTAGAGCTTTCAGACATTTTGGAAAATGCATCCATTGCCCCATTCCAAGCCTAATTGGGATAATAAATGTCAATTAAAGCTCCTTAAAGTTTTAAATTGCAAAACTCAAGTGCAACTACATGTACATAGACTTATACACAACTTTGGAGCAAGAAATCTCCCCTAAAAGAGATACAATGTATTTCTGTTTACTATTGATGATAAATACACCCATGAACCTGGCAGTTACAATGTAAGGAAATTTTCCCCAGCTTTCCTAAATGTATCCTTAATCAACAACTTTAAACTGTTGTATGTCTGCTATGTCAGTAGAATTCAGTTTCCTTCCAACAAATATATATAGAAAGCGTCAACTACATGCCAAGACTGGAAATACAGTAGTGACCAAGTAGACGTACAATGACCCCACCCCATTCATATGGAGGGATTCTCTAAGACCTGTGTAGATTCTATGTCTACACATGACTCCTTTCTTAATTTTTAATTATAAAGACTATTTTTTTTTTTTGGTACCAGGGTCGAACTCGGGTCCTTGCGCTTGCGAGGCAGGCAACGGAACCACTGAGCTAAATCCCCGGCCCCTTAATTTTTAATTATGAAACTTAAAAGGCAATTATTCATCAAGTGTAAATATAAAACAGGATATCTGTTAACTTCTGAACTTGGCAAAAATATTCTTATATCTTATATATGTAGTTCATTAATATGTGTCCAAAAATTCCACTTTAGTTTAATAAGAAGCCCAAGCTGCCAGTTCGTTGAAATCATCTTCCTCTTCGGTCCTTCTGGAAGATGCTGGAATATAAAATCAATAAAACTTAGTCCCTGGAGTCATTCACATTTTCAGCATAGAAAACAGAATGAATTATGTATAAAATGCGTTAATTTATGAAATCAAATATAAGTAAGTGCTTAACAGGGTGGGTCTGCCTATTACTTTAGCAAACTATGAGAACACATGTAGTGGATTTTTCTAACAGACCTGTGCGAGACCTATGTGCACTCTGCTTTCTATCTGGCTGTGCCGGGAGAGAAGAGGAAGGCACATTTGGAAGCCGGATATTTGTCATCTTCTTATTTAATTCCTCCTGCTCCAATTCTTCAAGTTCTGCCATCAACTCATCCTGAACATAGGAGAAAGGAAGAATTAGGGAGTTAACGTTTCAAGAAGTGGGTTTCCCTAAACACAATAACAAGAACATCTGCTACCCAATTGATATGTGAGAACCCAGTGAAATGGAATATTTATTTTGAAACTAAGTCTGTTTTGCAACACTGAGCAATGATTAAAAAATGAATATTTGGGGTTGTGCAAATTTGTTGTAGTTAATCTTATAATACTTCAGCAAACAGCCATTCATGTAATTTGTGCTAGCTGAATATATAATCTCTTCAGTTTCTGGGAAATTTACACCTTGCCTGTCATTTTTCCAATATGTTCTTTTCTCCTGTTAAGAGTCTGTGAAACTTTAATTAAAGAAAATAAATATTTTTATTTGGGCTAATGCTATTGAGAAAACAAATATAGCAAGACCATAACACAGAAAATAAAAAGAATCAAAGGTACTTTGGCTCCTTTGTCAAATCATCAGTCAATATAAATCATGCATGTATTTGAGGTATTAAAAACTTCAATTCAATATAAATATAATGTATTTTCTCTTTTAACAATGATCTGGGTGAGTTAGGTTTATTCTAAAATAATTCTTTGTTTAAAAATGCAGAAAGGCAATATTAGTTTAAGACTATAGGGATGTAGGTCACCTTATGGCAGGTCTGAGATGACTGAAGTAGTTCATATCTACCTGTCCTTAAGTCCTCAGATGGAAGTTGTCAGTCAAAGCTAAATTTGTCATCATGTACTTCTGAAGTTGTCATATTGAAAAATATCATAGTGAGAAATAAACACTTGTATTCAACCAAGTAAATTATTTATTCATTCATTCACTCGTAACAAATTTCTTACGATGTCCATCCTGGGAAGTTTTTGAACCCAAAACTGAATTAACACTCTCTACATTCAAAGAGCTAATGCTTGGATTTGGGATAAGGACATATAAATAAATATATTAAATGGAGAATTACAGCACCATGGAGCAAGAGAGAAGATATTTAAGTCTCTCACTCATTGATAATGTCCATGAGTATCAATTTTGCAGCATGCTATCTGACCTCTATTAAATTAACCACATGAAAAGGAATAAAATGTAAAGGTATATGGTCTCAGTGACATACCATCATCAGAATAGGTATGTGTTTTATGGTTTTCCACAGGTTCTATGTATAAAATGACATCAGGATAAATTTTCTGATGTTCTATTTCTGCTCACAAAGCAATTAGGAAAAAATATGAAAACTATATTAATGTCAGAATAAAGTATCGTATGTTGAATGCAAGCCCAGAATTGCCAATAGTGCTTGATATTTATTAACAGCACCAGAAAGATACTGATGCTTTCCTTACAAATATGATGACAACAGAGTACTCATCTCCTCCATCATTTTTGGCTTTTAGGTACCAGGCACTTATTTGATCATTATAAAAGTGTTGCAGATCTTAAGAAATTTTGAAGATAATCCAATAGTTTCCACTTTATAAATGAGAAAACTAAGGGTCAGAAAAGTAAAGGGACTTATTTAAGTTTTTACTAAATGGTAGAATCTAGATATCCTCATCAGCCCCTGGTCCTTTTCACCATACCATATTGCACTCATTAGATGATTGGTTTTTGGGGGGATTTGGGGGGTTTTTTGGTACCGGAGATCGAACTCGGGACCTTGTGCTTGCGAAGCAGGTGGCAAAACCACTGAGCTAAATCCCCGGCCCGGATGTTTATTCATCTACACCATGGGCTGGCAAACTTTTTCTATGAATAGCCAAACAGTAACTTCTTAGGCTTCATAGGTCACATATCTTCCCCTGGCATGTGGTCTTCTTTATTTTTGTTCTCTACACTTTAATATGGTGAAACCATTGTCATCTGTCACTATAAGAATGATTTGGGCTACAAGCCATATTTTGCCAAACCTTGATCCCTTTTTAAAAGTTATAAACACTGAATTCCCATTTTCTAGGATTCCATGAAACCACATATTTACTTGTAAGATGTAGGGCCAGGGATTTAGCTTAGTGGCACTGTGCCTGCCTCGCAAGTGCAAGGTCCTGAGTTCGATCCCTGGTACCAAAATATAAAATAAAAAAAATAAAATAAAAGATGTATCATTTTTAATAAAAGCAGGAAGTTGGATACTTTGCTATGCTACTCCAAGATTTGGAAACGTTTCAAAATGTGTCCTTGTCCTACTTGTGTGAGCTTTGAGTAGAACAATTGAAATTCAGTGTAAGACACCATCATTATAATTACAGACTGTATTATTGGACTTGATTAATCTAAATGGAATGTGTGTGTTGATAATGCCACTCCACATTTGTTCTGTTTCATAGGCTGAGTCATAAACAGAGGCAGCCTAACCTCTAATTTAATAGCTATGGAGCATGGTATGTCTGTTCTTTGCAGACTGACACAGTCTGCTTTGTTTGCCCAGATGTGCTAGCATGTGATTCCTTGTAATAGGGTTATTTGGGCTCCAACCATTAAAAGTCACTAACTTTACATAATCACATGCTGCGTTTCCCTTAATAGCTGAAAACTTAATTAGCAGGCTGTTTGCCAAACTATATTAATCTTTCCTTTAAATCAGATCTACTAACATTTAATTTACCTCCTAAGAGAAGTACATTTCCAACAACTACCATTTATTCTTTAAGTAATAAAGGAAATGGCAACTCCATATTATAGGAAGCTATGCTTTATGGCAGCCACAAAACCACATTGTTTATATTGTCTTACCCACCTCATCAAAACCATCGCCAAATCCAACCCGTTGAGAAAATGCTTCCGAAATTTCTTGGGCAATATCCTGTTGCTCTGTAATCTCTTGCATCAAATCATCGATTTTGTTCAGATCCCTGGGAAGTAATATTTTATTGAAATATTTTAAAATTTTAGCTTACAATTAGTGAATTTAGGAATAAACCTATATGAAAAATGAGTAAAGTTAATAAAAAATTATTTCAGTAGTATAACAAAAAATCCTGGTGATAATACTCATTCACTTTAAAAATAATTTGCATGTGGGCCCGGGATTTAGCTCAGTGGTTTTGCCGCCTACTGCGCAAGCACAAGAACCAGAGTTCAATCCCCAGTACAAAAAAAAAAAAATACTACTACTACTACTAATAATAATAATAATAATTTGCATTTAAAAATTAACAGTCCTGTAGATTCACATTTTAAATATTAAGTAAATGGCCTTTATCACTGGGAGTCATTAGAAATCAAATTATTTTATAACTAACAATATTTATACAACCATTTTGAAAATTTGGTAGGGCATATGTAAAACTTAAATATGTGCTGCTGTGTATTACCTCTGGGAAAAATAGTAGCATGGAACACCGAGGACCAACATGACCAAGCCACACATGTCAGCTTTCAGTAGCCACTCTGAAAGCAGGCCTTTGGAGATGTTAAACTCTGGAACTAGAGTACTATTTTCTATAATACCTAGTAGCTCTGAGATCCTGGCTCCCTAAGGGTCTCCAACAGTTGGGTTGCCCTGGGGTTTACTACAGAGAGCAGCCTAAGCCCTCGGAAGAATCAACAACCACAGCAAAGAAATCCGGAAAGCCACAGGACAGACGACTGCTTCAACAACAGTTTCTAGCACGAGTCCCACTGGCCCCTACCCTTCAGCCTGTTAGTGTCTAAAGGCCACATTCTGGGCTGTTTCTATAACACTCAGTCTCTAAACCATTCCTCCAACTCTAAAAGTAGGCCAGACTCATGGACTACAAGAAAAATGACACCTTTCCTTATTACTAAGTAACCCAAACACTGAAAGTTTGAGTCCCAGTGGAACTAATATTTTTTGAGTTTCTCAGACTCTGCATACCATAAAAGCTGTAGACTTTGACATATTTTCATGTAGTAATCAAAAATAATATATTTACCACTCTGCTACCACCCTGTAGCTCCAATCTTTATAATTATATGCATAATGATTATACTGATTAAAAGGAATATGAGAAATGTATGGCTACAGTTTGGAGGTGGGGGTGAATTTTCCTCAGAAGGAACACAATGGTATGAGGATGCTCAGTTACCTGGAGAGAAATGCTAACTTTGTAGTACATTTCAACTCCCAGGTAACAGCAGCAATAGAGGATTTTGAGTCTGATGATGAATCTGATGCTCTCTCTAAAGCTGCCAAAATAGTGGCTGATGTTAATGAATTATCAAGGAAAAAAAATGTTGGTAAGTTTATCTTCACTGGCCCATCCTCTTCCTATTTCATTTCTGCCCATTGTATAAAAATTTGTCTACATTCTTCAGTCACTCAGTACTCTTATGCACCCTTGGCCTGGATTCCACTATCATGTCCAGTATCAAGAAAGGATCAAGTCTCAGGCATTTATTTTCCAGAGCAAAAGTAAAGCAAATCTCCACCAGCCCCACTGTCATTAAAAACATGGATCATCGAGTGAAGACTCTGCCAGGAACTCTCCTCAGTTCATTCTATTTATATCTTATTGAACTTCACAGCAACCACACAAAGGAAGTACCATTATTATCACCAATTTACATATGTGGAAACTAAATCATGGAGAGGCAAAGTAATCTGGTCAATGGATAATCAGCTATACAGCTGGGAATATAAACCCAGGTATTTGATCCCTAAACTGCAGAAGTTGATCTTGATAAATATTTTTCTGGGTCAGTGGTTCTCAAATGTGGGGTAGAATCAGAATCACTTGGGAATTTATTTAAAAATGAAAAGGCCAAAACTCTATCCTAGTTCAAAGATTCAACTTCATTCTCTCTATTGGCACTTTATCCAGAAGATTCTGATTCCTGTCAAAGTTTTGGCAACCTCTATCCTACAGTGCTAACATCCTCCAAGATATTGACAATGAAGTCTTTTCAGGGTTACAAAATTAAAGTATTTAATTTTGGACAATCATAAGGAAACTGAGAAACATTAGAAATGGACTCCCTTCTATTTTTCATGAGTTTTTTGTTTTGGTGGTGTCACTGTAACCTCCAATTTCCCCTCAAAAAAGAATCCCATTAGGGGCGGGGATTTAGCTCAGTGGTTCCATCACCTGCTTTGCAAGCACAAGGTCCTGAGTTCGATCACTGGTACCAAAAAAAATTTAAAAATTAAAAAAAAAAAGAGAAAGCATCCCATTCAATAAATTGAAAGGCTTCAGATGCATGAGCCTATTCCACCAAAACTCATTATGATTTCAAAGGCTTTTCAATACTGAGGATATTTATGATTGAAAGGAATATCAAAGTCACTCACATGTTTTCATGAATGGCTTTCATTGCTTTTGCTGCAAGGCCCATGTTTCGTAACACCTCAGTGTTGGTGTGGGAATTCTCCAGGGCTTCTCTCTGGAACTCAATGGTAGAAAGGGTGCCATCGATCTGAGTAAGCTGCTTCTCAAACCTCTTCTTCCTTTTTAGTGCCTGCAATGCAGCTGCAGAAGGAAGAGTCCACATTTGTAAGGGAAGAGATTGAGACACTCAAGGGACATTGGCTTCGAACAACCACAGACTCAGAACTGCTGTTACCTAATAACAGAGAGCATACCAAATAGTCCCGAGACACTTACAAGCAACATCTGTCCTCCCAATCACTATACTAACTACCACTCCCTCAAACAGTTTTTATTCTTTTAACTATCTAGCAAGTGTAAAAGGATAAAAAGTGTCTTTGCTCATTCCAAAAATATGTTAGAGAAATGTTTCTGTTCATACTAGATTTTATAAAAAGGATAGGTAAAATATGAGTAAAAGTCATGAAATAAAAAAATAAGCCCGTAGGGCCGGGGTTTTACCTCAGTGGCTCTGCTGCCTGCCTCGCAAGCGCAAGGTCCCAAGTTCAAGCCCCAGAACCGAAAAAAAGAAAAGAAAAAAGAAAAGAAAAAGAAGCTTGTAGAGAAGGAAAAGATCTTCACAGATGTTGATTTCACTCACTTATTGAAAGGCAAGTCTCTGGGCTGAGCCTCCCAGGGAGAATCTGGGAGGGGTCCATGCATTTGTTGTGAGTTCCCCAGATGCAAAGCCAAGATCCATGAAAGCAGCAGCAGCAGAGCCAGAGCCCAAAAAGTGCCTGTCTTTATTTCTTTAGCCCTTATATAGTCACTATCAGACATAACGATATATACTGAAATTCAAGAGCTGTGTGTCCTGGCAGGACCATATTGCATACGCACAGTGGTCTATGCTAAGTCATGCATAACTATGTCCCATTATGCACATGGGCCTGACAGTGAGGTCATGTCCTTAAGTATCCCTTCAGTTCCCTCAGACTTTGAGTTCATTAATAGCAAGTTTATTAAGAAAGAGAAAGGAAGTGACTTGCTTGCTGGGTGGTGACTGGAACCAGAACCTAAATTGCTGAGCTCCATGTCTTGATCTAAAATGATTATGAGGAGGCTATTAAGGTCTAACCACGAGTGTTCATGAAATCTATGCAGATAGAATCACATTCAGGATTAAACGGCATACAGTGAGAGAAAACTATTGCCTTTAGAGAAACGTTATCTATCTAAGCCTCCCATTTACCCTTTACCTGCTTCATTCTGGAACTACAAAACTGAGTCCTCCTGACTGTAGTTCCTTTGAAGACACATACAAATAAAGCTTTAATGTCCATCTCTATATATACAACATTTAGGAAAAATGTAGGAAAAAAACAGCAAAAGAATGTTCATACACAGATAAGTGATCATAAAGGTCAAAAGATTCCAAAACTGAAAGATGAAACCCCTCAAAGCCAAGCCCCCAGCTGTATAAGCTCTTCTCACTAGCCCACCCCCACCCTGTGGAGTTCATCTTGTCTTTTCTCTTTCAAATAAATCAATCCTGCTGCTACCCTTGGGAATTCTGATCAATAGTTTATTTAGGACACCAAGAACCCAGACAAGACTCCCAACCTGGTAACATTATCACAAGAGAGATTTCTCAAGGTGCATTTATTTCCCTACAAATAACTCATTTACCATTCTTTATAGCAGAGTAGTAGTCCATTGTTTATAATGAATGCCATGCCTTCTTTATTCATTCACCTGTTGATGGACATAGAGGCTGATTCCAAGATTTAGTTATTATAAATTGTGCTGCTATAAACATAAGTATGCATGTGTCACTGAAATATGATGACTTTACCTCTTTTGAGAAGATGCCTAGAAAGAGAATAGCTGGGTCAAATGGAATTTCTATTTTAGTTTCTTGAAGAATCTCCATACTGATCTCCAAAGTCCTTGTACTAGTTTATGTTCCCACCAACAATATAGAAGGGTTCCTTTTTTTCTCACAGCCTCACCAGCATTTGTTATTATTTGATTTCTTGATGATAGCCATTCTTTATAGAGTAAGGTGGTATCTCAGTGCTGTGAAATAAATCAATACACAAGCTTAAATATTGTATGGTTTCTTATATGAGAAACCCCAAATATAAATAAAATAAAAGATAAATAATAGGAATAATAAGAAGTAGGGAGATTTTTCCCAAATGTGAAGGGGAACAAGATGGAAGGGAGATGGGGAGGGAAACAGAATGGGAAAAAAAGGGAAAAGAATGAAAAATAGGGGCCAGGGATTTAGCTTAGTGGTGTTACCGCCTGCCTCACAAGCACAAGGTCCTGAGTTTGGTTCCCGGTACAAAAAAAAAAGAATGAAAATAGACCTTTTGCCAATAGGAAAGGGACCAAGAAGTGGAAGGAGCAAGGAGGAATAGGAAGGGTAGGGGATGAAAAAAAGAATTAACTTGTGTTATGTATATGTACCAACTCCACATGTTAAATGTAATCAATATGTACTGCAAAAATGTACTAACAAAAAAAATCCAACTCTATTCCAAAAAATAATAACAAAACAAGAGAGATCTCTGAGAAAAGTCTTCTACCTCTGTTTTGGTCAATTTCTTGTAACCCCAACAGAACATCATTGAGACGGGAGGTTATTAATTCCAGTGTTTTTTTATTGGTGTGGGAAGACTCACAGCCATTACATTTTCTTGGTGAACTTTATTAGTAACCAGTATAGAATTTTTTTTCTCCCTCTCTGGTTATGAGGACCAGCAACCATCATGAATGGCACAATAACTATCCAGACCAGCAAGTTCATGAGCAACTGACTATTTCAAAGGAAACACCCAAGAAGGCAACAGAAATTTTGGGGAAATTAGCCTACATATTAAATACCACACAAGATATTATCTTGTGTTTTGCTTCTGGACCCATTTGGGTGGTAGCAAAACAATTGGCTTTAGCACAATTTATGAATCATTGAATTCTACAAAGAAAAATGAACTCAAACATAGACTAGCAAGACATGGCCTACATGAGTGGGAAAATATCTCAAAGAAACAGTGAAAGGAACAGAACGGAATGAAGAAAGTCAGGCTGGCTGCAAAGAGCAGTGTTGGTGCTGGCAAAAAAAGAAGGAATGAAGATTCTGCAACAACTTTACCTGTGGTGATTATGTGAATTTTTCATAAGAAGATTAACTAAAACCTTTTTTAAAGTCAGTATATAATTTTACCCTGTCTCATTTTATCCTTTTCACCTTAAATTTTATTTGTTTTTATTAACTAATGTTTTGATCTTCTTTTGGTTACAATTTGCCTGTGACAATTTTTACCTAGACCTTGAATTAAAAATTCTTCTTCATTTTCATTTTTAAGATGCCTACTACAAATAGCATATACTTGGATATTTAGTTTGGGACAAAATTTGTAGCCTACTTAGATAATCTCGGTGTTTTAAGGTAAACTTTAACTCAGTTTCAATTATTGTACAGATACATTATCCAATGTGGTCTTTTTACTGTCATCTTCTGTGTGCTTTGTTTATTATACTTTTTGTCCTCTTTGTTTTCATGTCTTAATGTAAATTCATCAAATATCTGTTTATCATTTTATATACTTAATTTATTCTCCTCACATACTTGTATTTAAAATATACACAAGTAATATGACAAGTTTTCTAATGTGTTGAAAATTATTTTTTATCTATTATTTATTCTTCCCAAACAAGATTCCCTTCTTCCCAAACCCCACAATGTTTGATTAAAACAATCTGTAATTTGACTAGTTTCAGATGATAAGCAATCTTTTTGCTCTCCTTTTAATCTTTAAGGGAGCATTTCTCAGCAATTGGCTCACAGTCATAATTTCAATATTTACTCTAAGGTATAGTGTTTACTGGCTTATTTTCATACTATGGCTTCTTGAATTTTACACTGTTCTCTTTCTTAAATTGTTTTGCTTTTATAATTACTGGAGTGAATCTATTATTTTTTCAAGAAAGTATTTTCAGTACACAGATAAAATTCAGTACACAGATAGAAGTGCACAGATATTATTCTCTGAATACCTCTGAAAATGTCTTCATTTTGTTCCAAATTTGAGTGATGGTTTAGATTTTTACAGAATTTTAGGTTCAAAATATTTTGAAGTTTTTAAAAACACTTCCATTGTCTTGGCATAGTCAACATTTCAAACATTTGATAAAAATATGCTTGTTTCTTTAGAGATAAAATGCTCTTCTGGGGGCCGGGGACTGAGTGCAGTGGCACCATACCTGCCTCACAAGCACAAGGTCCTGTTCAATCCCTGGTACACACAAAAAAAAAAAAAAAAAAAAAAAACCTCTTCTGTTTCTCTGAAAATATTTAAGACTTTAGTTTTTATCCTGGCATTATAAAATGTCATCAATATATTTATAATCTTGTATCTTTTACTTTTTGTTTCTTTCCAACTAAGCATTCAGTATTTTTATTCTGAAGAAATAAATCTTTCCTTGCCTTTGGTAAATCATTATCTATTATCTATTTCTCCCATTACTTCTGTCTACTCTTGTTCTGAAGCCCCTATTCTGGTTTTATTTAATCATCCATTTCATTACCCTTCTCTTTACCACTTTTTCTGTTTTGAAATCCCTATACGATGGATTTGAATTCTTTGGCTCTATCCTCTAATCTATTAATTTATGCTTCCATCTTTTCAATCTAGGTCCTGGGAGAATTTCTTGACTTTATCTTCCAGATCATTAACTTAGACTCCAGCCAAATTTATTCTACTCTTCTTACCCTTTAATTGATTTTTTAAATTAGGTTGTTAATTTCTAAGTACTTTCTTGTTATCTAGTTGCTGGTTTTCATGGCTGCTCATTCATGTTTCAAAGATGCAATAACTTCTTGAATCCCCCTGAAGATAATATGTTTTATTCTTACCACCTTCCATACTGATATTCTCTCTTGTCTTGAATTCCATTTTTACTTTGCTCATTTAATCGTTTGATATAAATGATTTTCTTTAAAATTCTTCTGAACTTCCATTATAGGTTCATACTGTCAATGAAAGACTAGAATAGATAATGCAAGTACGGGAGCTGTGTGTCTTGTCCTTACGTGACAGTGGTTCCCTGAGGCCTCTGTATTTAAAAGAAAAGCTGCCCAGGGTTCTGTGAGA